TTTGCACAGTAGTATACTCTGGAACGATCTACTTTTTTCCTTAGTCTTGCTCCTTGTCTACACAAGCAAACATTATATATATACTAGATACACTAACAAGTGTTGAAAAAAGTTATCTCGGTAAATATTTGTTCCTTAGAATTTGTTGCCTAGTAGGGTAAAGTAATAGAAAGCAAATTGATCAACTTTTGTCATATTATTAAGATGAATGGCATTATGTATAACCAAACTATAAGCCTTTCTTTGTGCTCCATTTCCGCTCCCCGTTGAGGAAAAAATACGCCTTCACAGTGGAAACTCCCCCTACCTGAACCTGAGCAGGACCTTCTTGCATGCAGCTTACTTCTTTTCAGCTCTAGCCGCTGTTTTGACCTGTAAAAAACCAATGCTATTATTCTGTGACATGCTGTATCAAGCCTGCAGATGCGATTTCGTATTGACAGCTGTATGTGCGTGTTTGTTTTTATGTCTAGAGTGCAGTGATTTGTGCTGTAAGCCTGGTTCCCATCCAGACAATAATTTCGGCAGACATAACAAGAGAACCATCAAGTCTCTGCCAGATAGCACATACCACTTTACTCCTTCAAATTAATTATATACAATGTTGAAAATGAACACATGCTCTTTACGTGGTTCCTTTTCCATTTTCTCCTTTAAGAGCCTTAACTGTGTTGTGTAGGAGCGTTAGGAAATTTCACAAACTTTCTCCACAAATTAAAAAGCATCTCTGTGTTTGTCTGAGTTATTCCTTATACATAAATGTATGAAAACACTATCTTTTATTTATTCTTTATACAATTTAAACAAGCAGATATGTCAGATACTTGAGGGCTTTGGACACAAATACCTTAACTGTCCCTTAATCGTTTATTGTCTCAGATATCCTCTGATTCTTTCCCTGTGTTTTGGCTTGTTTACAGACATCTGGTTTACATAGTATATCTTTTTTTTTTTTTTCTTTACAGCAACGAACTGGATCAATTTTTTTCTCCATGCTCTAGACCATCAAAACACCAGCTTTTCTCAAGCTAATGGTCTTATGCTTCTGGCACAATCAGCAGAAATCTCCTGCTGTGTTTTACATATCTATATGTCACATTTAAAACATGCAGTATAAGTTACTTTAGATTTTCTTATTAGAGAAAAGAGTTTAAAGTTTATTTCAGCTTTAATTAATACATGATGTCCCATTCTTTGCAGCTGACACAGAAAATGATAACTGAAAATGTAGCACAGACTTTACATGGGCACTGCTGTCTGCCAGAGTATCTATTTGTCTACACCTTTGTGCTCTTGCCAGAACATTACAGTTCAACAGTTGACTGACGCAGAGCTGATGAACAAATGTGGATACAGAATAAGTTTGATTCTCTTTTCAAAGACATGACTCTGTAACTTGTGTGTGTGGATTCAAAGAGTTAGAGTAAATGATTTATGTGAGGATTACAGAGGGAGGCAAAGAAGTGGGTCAGAACTGCATTTAGTTCATTAGACATGTGCAAAGATCAAACAGTGAGTGAAATAGATGGAGACAGAAATTACAGAACGGGGAGTGGAGCAGGGGGTGTTTAAAACTGACACTTTGAACAATTAATCACATGTATTTATGCATGTGTTTGTCATCTTTGTGTGTTTATGTTTCTGTGTATCTCATAGGGAAGTTATATTTTAAAAAATTCCAGTAACTCCTCTTTATTAGGCAACTGTTGTTCCTCATGGGGCAGAAGTCAGTACCCACACTAATCTGTCTCTCTCTCTCTTGTGTTTAGTATGAGTGTGGCATACCAGAGGTCTGTTCTCGCTGTGTGATCTCAATAACAACACTGAAATTGTGCCTCAGGATGTGTATGTGTGTCTGTGTTTGTGTGCGTGTGCAGTGAGTTAGTTCATATATAGAGAGAAAGTTAAGATATATATATATATAGTCTAACTCTCTGTGGGAATGTTCTCATCTGCAAAGACCCGCTCCCCCAGGAGGCCCCTCGGGCCTATTGCTGTGACAGCCAATGACAGCACATGCACCCACACAGACAGAAAACAGTGGTATATTACACATGGGATAACAAATGAGGATTAGAGAGTGTGACAAGAGATTTAATACTTCCTGGTGAAGGCCAAGTTGAAAAAATAACTTTGTTAGGTGGAAGAAGGAGATGGGAGGAAGAGCCAAAGAAAGTCAGAGAAGATGGGAGAGAGAAAAGTGGGAAAACTTATGTTTTGTTACCACAAACATAAGGACTCAAGTTCATTACTTTCTACTTGTTGTGCTTTTTAATGCATAGGCCAAACAAACACAACAATCTAATCTCAGAAAACTTAAACTTGAGGGTTGTTCTTACCCTCAACTGAAAACATCATCCGGACTAAGATATTTCTCTATTTATAGATTTAGCATGGAAAAATAAAGCACCTACTTGCATTTGGTTAATATTTTGTAATCTTGTTTTTTTTCCCCCTCAAGATGTTCAAGACACTTTAAAAACAAACCCACGTACAGATTTTGACTCGGAGCTTTGGCTTGTTGATTTTGAGCTGGAAGCTGGCAGTGTACCTCTGTGCATTCTCTGCTACCTTGCCTCTAAAATATGTGCAGCAGAAAAAAAATATTTAGCTAGTGATAAATCAGAGCAGGCCTTGAAAAAACTAACACAGTGTGTATGTATGTGTGTGTGTGTGTGTGTGTGTGTGTGTGAATCCTCTTTTTCTGAAATATGTGTCAGTGAGGCATGTGAGGACACTTGTGGGTGGGTGTATTCACATCCATGTATGTGTGCGCGTAGGCTGGTCAGTGTTATAAACACCAGCGGAGTTTGTTTACATGCTCAGTATCAGTTTGGGAAGCTGTCATTTACCAAGCTATACACACAGATATTTAACACAGTGTGCACAGTAAGGAGTGTGAGTGGACATGTTTGTGTGGATGTGTGTGGGTGTGTGTGTGCGATTGTCATCCTGTAATCATGTTTTTCTAACTGACTGTCCACATTTCAAGAGCAGCTTGCCAGGAAATGTAACTTCCTGCCCAAGAGACTGATTCAGCAGCATCCAGCTGTTGCATGTGTTTGGTTAGAAACACAGGAGAGAAAAAGTAAGACAGAGGTGTGTGTGCGTGTATATGTGTGTGTGGAAAGGGGTGGAAGGGGATTGCCTGTTTTGTTTTTTGTTTTTCCCATACAGTTTCTTAATTGTTGTTTACCCAGACACCGAACGCCTCCTCCCCCACTCTCCCCTGCGCAGAAGCCCACCTCCTTCTCTTTCAGTTGTTTTGTTTTTTTTGACAGATTTAAGTAGGAAACTCCATCTCCTTAAGAACCCACTAAATATCATGTGTCTGCACACTCAGTCTAAGTTATTCTAACCTTTCTGTGCTTTTCCCCTCCTGTGGTCATTCTGAAAATCTTGAATCCCACAAGTATGTAGTCTTGAATTCATAAACTTGCCTTTCTGTGTTTGAGTTTTTTTGGATTTTGAGACACTTTTTTCATGTATGCCACGAATGCTTGTGGTTGTGACTGCAGTAGCACTATACTACTATTAAATTGTATGTCCGGACCATACAATATGTATGGGTACATATGTGTAAGATGCAATGCCTCTAAGCGATGTTCTTCTAGCACGGGAAAGAAAATGGAGAAATAGAAGTCTGTGCATTAAATACAGAAACTAAGACATCTAAAACTAGAAAAGAGGATGTAGAAAATGGAGTGGAGAGACAGAAATAATACTGAGCTGGGTCTTCACATGCCAAGTTATTTTCACTCTTGTGCATAGTCTTCAAATGATTTTAACAATCAGCCTTGTTTGCCATCGTACTACACAGTATGTTTGCTTTCTGAGACTGGTATTTATTGCTTGACTTCCTTTACTGTACGGATCATTGTCTCCAGTAGCTCTCAGTAGTTTTGAAATGCAGAGATGAGCTTTTTGTTTTGTTCCTGAGCCCATATGTTGAATATGAAGCAGGAAAACGGAGAACATAACATCCCATTTTCAGGAAGATGATGAAATGAACATATCATGTAAAATATACGTGAAAATAAAAAAAAATTGGTGTATATATATCTATATATATCTATATCTATCTATCGAGCTAGCTATCTAGCTATCTGTAGAGATATCTGTAGAGTTATCTGACTATAAAATAAATGTTTTTAAAAACATATAAGTGTTAATAGTTTCTGTATGTGTGACCATACAAACATTTGCTCATATTATTTAAGGAGAAGAAATGGTGCATACAGATATATGTGTGGATATATACATGCATAATTAAGATTACCAAGATGTATATCTTAGGTTAAAGAATTCAACCTTTATTATTATTTAATATTTAATATTTCACTGTAAGGTTTAAATAAACAGTTATATTCACTAAAATAAATCAGTCTGTCCTGTTTTTTTTTTTCCATTTTAAACTCCTTATTAATTGTAAATATCCTCTGGAAATGCAGTGGTACGTCTTTATTTCCTTGACAAACATGCAATTTGTGCCCAAGAATGGAGAAAAACAGCAATGGAAACATGAAAGCGCCAGGTGTTTTCTCCCCCGTACAACACCTGCTTCTCTTTAGCTGAGTTGTGATTTCTCAGCAGGGTCATAGTAAAGTCTTTGTTGATCTTCTCTGACGAAACGGGGAGTCACGACTGTCTGCTTTAACATTCTGCCCTACTTTTAACTTGGATATGTCTGGTACCTTTCTGCACCGTTATTTTCGAATGGCGCCTCAGTTTAGATTTTACTGATATAGCCAATTTACGACAAGAATTATTATGTTACCTTATTTTAAAGCAAAGACGCTGCAGCTGGATACTAACTGGAAATTGTAGCATCTTGCACACACAAAACACCTAATATGTGTACATGTATGCAAAACACTCAAATACACAGTTGTCTACTTCTTGATTATTGTCTTAATAATTTACTTTTTCTTGTGTTTTCCCTTTCTCACCCTGACTCCTTTCTCCTCCCTCTTCCCCCTCTTCTCTTTGTTTACTCACAGGTGGTGTCCTCCTATCCAAAACACATGCTCATCCTAACAAATTGCTGACAGAACAAGACGGACGGGGTAAGGGAGTACGGGAAAGAGAGATCTCCCAGACGCACACTCATAAAGAGAAAGGGGCCATTGGCCATCTGTGGTCAGTCCCCTGCTATTTTGCAGCTGCGTTGGAGTCAGCGAATGGTCCTAAGCGCTGATAAGAAAAAGAGGTTTTTCTACAACGTTGCCCAGGGGATGAGCCCAGGCTAGGGCAATGTTAAAGCCTCGCTGGCCTTGGATTAAGCCCCTTGGGCTATTTTGTGTAGGGATGGATGATACCCCAGCTGGATCCTCTGCTGTCACTATTCTCCACAGCTATCATTAGTGGCTAATGAGCTGCTGCTAGAGAGGAAACGGGGAAGGTGCCTGCGGAGAGAGGTGAAACCTTACAGCTCTTATTAAGAGGCCCACAGAGAATTCTTTGCCTATTTAAAGCTTTGACTAGCATGACTTTACCATTTATTATTGTGGGCATTTCTTTATATATTTTGATAGCCTTTTTTGTTACAGCATAAAAATGTCACCTAGAAGTTGAAAGACTTTTTTTCCCAGGAAGATGATTCAGTGTTTGGACATAAACTATTTTTCTCATGAAGCAGTTTCAAAAATATATTTTTATTCAGGAGGAATTTTGGTAGATTGTTTTTGTTTTACTCTTCCCGATAATTTTGACCTTCCTATGCCCTGAAGATCATTGGTCACCATGGCAGCAGCCTATCGTGTTGTTGTGAGCAGCGTGAGCTGTTACAACAGTGTGGTAGTAGACCGACGCACTCACTCCCATGCAGTACACTACTGCTCAGGGCCATGTGGAGCACTGTCCCAGGGCTTGGACTGCACTGTTGCACACCGTGGCACCTGTTCTGAGCTCCTTGTTGCACCTGACCCTCAATACAATGACCTTAACAGCTCACCCATACACTCCCGCAACATTATTGCTCAGCAGCTTCCTAACCATGCTAAAGTTTGTCTTGCCATGGATAGTACTCATAATGGGAGCCTAGAGAGGGCAGGCAGCAGTGGCAATTTATCTTTAGGAGAAGAGAGCCTCACATGGCGTGGTAAGAAGACCTCTGGTGGTGGAGCATCGACTGGGAGTATGACCTCCTCTGGCAGTCTAAAGGATATTACCGAAGAAGCCATCAACCTGGCCAGTGGTAAACTCAAGGAGTTTTCATTTGATAAGCTCCGCCTTTCATCCTCCAGCCACATCACCTTCCGGAAAGGCCGTAAAGTCCGTCCTGACTCTTTTAGTCGTCGCTCCACCGACCTGGAGATTATTTATGGCCACTTCAGCTCCAACCTTACCACAAATGCAACTACTAACGGTATGACAAATGGCACGGCTTCTTCTAACGATGAGAACCTGCCACCATTTGTGCAAGGGAAAGGAACGGTGCTAGAGGAAACGAAGATTAAGGGCAGCCCAGGCACCATGTCATCCATCACCAAAGTTGCTGGTGGCTCAACAAACAGCCTCACGAGTATTGGGTCATTAGACCAAAGTCTGAACACAGTGGCCTCCCTGTACCGCAACACCCTAGGAGAAGAGAACTTAATTGCCCGTCTGCTGGAGAAGACGCGAGCGGAGGCAGCTACTGGCGGAGCAGGTGGCGAAGACATACGTGCCTGCCTTGATATTCTGCTTAAATGTTCTGAAGACCTTAAGAAATGCACTGACATAATCAAACAGTGCATCAAACGCAAAGCTGGTGGAGGCCCAGAGGATGGGGAAGCAAGCCCTGACAGTGTGTATCGGGCTGTGATGACTCGTCTCAGTTCCTATCTTAAGAGATTGCCTCTGGAGCTGGAAGGAATCGGGGGTTTGGGAGGCAGTGGACAGGGTGCACCTGGAAGCGGGCACAGTGATTTGGCTGAACTGGTTAACACTCTTCACTCCATCCAGCAGGGACCTTATTCGCCGATATTTGGCAATGAACAACCTCCTCGCTATGAAGATGTGGTGCTCTCTCCTCCAATCCCAAAGACTGTTCCACATTCTGTTTCTGCTCCATCCTCTGTCTCATCTACTTCTTTATCTCTAAAATCAGATTCCATCCATACCAAACCAGTTCAGAGCTCAGCCCAGCTTAGAGCTACCCCACTTACTAATGGAGTTATCCAACATCCACATACTTCTTCTTATACACAACATACTCTCTCTCCTCCAACCATTATATCCTCTTCATCCAGCTCCTCTCCAACACACTCCTCCTCCCCTCTTCGTAACTCCCCGACCCCAGCTTATACACACACTCCCCCAGCATCTCCCATGGAGGCTCTTTATATTGAGGAGGAGGAAGCAGATATGGGAAAGACACCAGAACAAATCTCACAGCAGACACACACTCCATCTAGAGGGATGAACAGCAGCCAGAGCAAAAGTGGGACTATGATGGGGCAACACATGCACCTGTCCCAAACACACACGCTCTATAACTCTTCAAATACTTTGCCAGTCAGCTCTGGCTATGGCTCAAATTGGCCTTCCTCTGCGTCACTAACAGTCTCTGCACCCAAAGCTGCTGCACACAGGAATGATGACATTGACAAGCTGCTCATGGACTTGGAGAATCTCTCTCAAAGTATGACTCATCCCAGAAAGACAGAGCCTCCACTTCCTGCCAAAACCAGGAAGAGAGATGGGAGCCAGGGGATCACCTCCAGTGAGTCCTTCACTCAACCCAAAATGGCTCAGTTCCAAGTCTCAAAGCCAGACAGCCACTTAACCATGAACGGCATTAGCTCCAGAACTCCCCAGAGTTTCACTCCTCCTAAAGAAGAGAGGAGTGAAAATGTGGCAGGAGAGGAGGAGGATGGGGCATTGTTGCTGAGAATCCTTGAGAGCATTGAGAGTTTCGCCCAAGAACTGGTGGATTCCGGAGCAGGGAGCACAGGGAGTGCTGAGAGGAACAGTGGAAAGGAGCGGGAGGTGATGAGGCTCCTGCAGGATACACTGGCCACCGCTGGCAGGGCTGATACACCTCTGGAGAGCACAAACACACCAGCTGCTCCCACCGCTCCAACTGTACATACAGATGCAATCTCAGATACACTGATAAAACACACCTTGGCAAATACACCTGAAGTTTCACCTGCCCCAACACCTACAGTATCTGAATCTGAAAGCAGTGCTTCAGCTGAACAAGCACCTAAATCTACACCTGAAAGTGCTCCCCAACCTTTGCCTACACCTACACCTGACCCTCCAGTCGAGTCTGTGGATAAAATTCCAGAAGCGTCTACAGATGAGGATGACTCAAAACCAGTCTCTGCCCCGATATCCTCTGCACCTGCAAACTTGCATTCCTCTACGCTTTCCGATGAAACCATACCTGTGGCCGCACCTGAAGCTCCAGCTCCTGTTGCTACGCCAACCACAGCAAGTGCTACCGTTGCTGTTGGTGAACATACTGCTTTGAGAGATGCTGGCTCAACCCTTCTTATCCAGCAGACTCCAGAGGTCATTAAAGTAAGTGTTCCAAAGTCACACTCACAAATGCATAATCTAACAGACAATCAAAGACATGAACATTTCAGAAAATAGTTTATTGGTGCTGTGTGATTTTTTTTCATTGCATTTCAAGCTGCTGCTAGGAAATAAAGAAATGGGTGTTTCAAGGGCTTGAGTAATATGAAGTACTTATTCCAAGACGGTGCCATTACAGTTGCAGTCCACTGATTAGGAATTTATCATGTTAGAAAGATTGCTACATGCAGTGCAACTCTGGGTTAATTTGTGTTCATTGATGTATATAAAAAGGAGCCATCTGTGCTTTTAAATGTTACTGTTGATCCATTTAGGTGCAGTATGAGGGCGCCTGACTGAGGGATAGACATAGAGGGACCACACAGGCTGATTAGCATTAGACTGAAAATAAACTGAGGATTTCATTGCTGTGGCACAACCGGACTGATGCTGCTGTAATTGGTAGTATTAATTAGCTCTAATTAACATGCTGTTACAGTTACTCAATCTTGGCTTGAATCAAAAAAGTTGAGGCTTTGGATCACGGAACAGAATAGCTCATTGTTGTGGAGTGGCTCTTTGTTGGCTTTTCCTGGTTTTGAACTCGTGTTTTGTTCTGTAATTGTATGTGTGTGCAGGCGTATGCATGTGTGTAGACTTTATTTTTCTTACTGTGGAAAATGTAACGGTAAATTGCAGTTGTGCTACAGAGGAAAAGAGAAGGGAACTAGAACTTGATTATTTTTTTGTCTGTGTCTGCGCGTAAGCTTGAGTTAATGATGATAAAAAGGCAGTGTTACCTCAGCCAGTCCCTAATGTGGATGTTCTACTGCAAATTGTAGATTTAGGTAATTATGCATGCCAGACAAACACACATTATCATCAACACAGAGGAATCAAATCATTATTGTTGTCATTTATTCCCCTCTATATTTGACATTTTTCTCTTACTAATTTATTTTTCCTCTCTCGCTCCAACCACCCTTCTCCTCATCACGCTTCCTCTGCTGTTTATGTGTGTTTATTTACTGAGCTGTGTAACCTTATGCCCTGCTGATATGTAGGGCACCTATTTATGAGGTTACCATGGTAGCTGCCACAGTAAGAACGGAACAGCCAGCACCCGAACACATCATTACACAATCTCCTTCCTCCTCCATCTTCTGTGTCCCTATCCATCCCTTTTTTCTCTTTCCTCTACTGTTTTTGTCTTTTCTGCTTATCTGCTCCCACATTTCTTGCAGTTCCACTCTCTCCGTTTTTAATTTTTCTGGCTTATAGGTCTACTTTTGTTTCTCTTCTCAGTGTCCTTCTTTCACCTGCGGTCAAGGATTATGTCCGTACTGATCACTTCTTGTCTTCCAACCCTGTGATTGGCTGTTGTTTTATTTTGGGAGAGGTGAATAACTGTTGTTGCTGCGTGGAGAGCAGAGAAACCCAATGGGAGGTGCTCATTGGAGCACTGGAGGAAGCGGGGGGAGGTTTGGGTTGTTGGCACAGCAAGTGTTAATGGTATCATTACCCTACAACCCCCTCCACCCCTGGCACAGCTAGGTGTGAGGGAGACCTAAATCTGTCCACCCCTCTGTACTATGGCATCCCGCTAACAGACTCACTGTCGCCACAGTGTAAATGGACCGGCATACGTGCATGTGTGTGCATGTTTGTGTGTGTGTGTGTGTGTGTGTGTGTGTAAGCAATTGAGCATGTGTTATGCACACCTAGGCTTTATTACATGTCCAGATGTTCATACACGTGTGCATTTACATGTGTGTTCATGCATGCATTAAATTTGTATGAGTTAAACGTGATGAATATCGGAGTCTGATGAACTGTGCGTGTGTGCATCTGTCTGGCTGTCTGTTTGTTGGCCCATGGGTAAGATGACCCGGTGCTACTGTGGGTCACAGCTGAGTTTGGAATAGCTCTTCGACACCCAATACCGATTCTGGCACTCTGGGAATTATGTTAATATTCCTCAGCGCCAACCCCGCCCTGCAATGCATTAAACTGCCAATCAAACTGTAAACAAGACAAGCCCCCTCATGCACAAGTGAGAAAATGCCCTCGCACAACTGCACTGAACCACACACTCCACGTTGAACATTTGTAGCTTTGTTTCGCTTGGCACTGCCATAGCTTCACTGGGAACTTCTGCTAAGCCCTCTATGGTGACGCAGGCCCCAGGCAGTAGTATCTTCATCTCTGCTTTACGCATGTTTATTGTTGATTCTGCTGCTGACAGACTAATACAGGGCTTTCTGCACCTGTCAGAACACACCCATTAATCTCCATCATGACAGGAAAGCTGACTGATATAAATCAGAGGCAAAGCCGTAACACTCATAGTGGGGAGATGTGATGGTGAGAGTCAATTAACTTTAAGGGCAATGGGCTTTGAATGGGCTTTCTTTCTATTCCTGTCTCTCTGTTTTTAGGTAATATAATAAAAGCTGCTTTCGGCTCCTCCCTTGTTCACAATGGGTTGGCCACAGTGAACGTTTGATTCGGCAGATTTTTACACTGGAGGCCCTTTGTTTCTCCACCCATATTTAAACCAGACGTCTTTCGCTTGTTAGGCATATAAGTAAACCACTACAGTATGGAGCCACATTTTAGGTAACATAGTAAGATGTATTTTAAAATGAGACAACATTCACTGGTGGGTAAATGTAACCTAACTTTTGTTCTAGTGGCATTGCTTCAATACAGTTAATGGTGGAATTGCTTGCAGACACTGACTGGATCTATAGCTGCCACTCTGATAGTTTAATTAACACACTGCTGGTTTAAGTAGTTTTACTTCTGCAGATCTGTCACAGGGCAAGATTAACATTGGTCTTTAGCTCATTTTAAATTTGATGGCAACAATATGTCTCAAAAGAGTTGGGACAGAGCCATTTACCACTGTGTAGCTTCCCCATTCAGTTCAGACTTCTGGGAACTGAGATCAGCTGCTAGACTTTTTAAATAGGAATATTGTCCCATTGTCCCACTCTGCTATAGGATTTTGGCTGCTCAACAGTCCTAGATCTTCTTTGTCCTATTTTTTGTTTCATGATGTGCAGAATTTTTCAACATGGTCTGGACAGCACCTGGACTCTTCTACCGCAAAGCCTTATTGCTGTAATAGTGCATTATCTGGTTTAGCATTGTCTTGCTGAAATTTGCAAGGCCTTCCCCGAGAAAGGCATCATCTGGATGGAATTCCAGTATTTCAGGATTGGCATGCTGCCATTTCCATAGCCATTAATACATCCTCATATCATCACAGATGCAGGCTTTTGAACTAGGCACTGATAACAAGCTGGGTGGTCCCTTTCCTGAGTATGGAGGATGCTGGATCCAAAAGGAATATTAAAAATCGATTAGTCTGACCACAGAACAGTTTTCCACTTTTCCTCAGTTCATTTTAAATATACTTTGGAAAAGACGGGACATTTCTTTGCTAATGGAGCTTTAACCTGGATTTCCTTATGGCACAGTGAACTGTGTTCACAGACAGTGAATTCTGGAAGTGTTCCTGAGCCCATGCAGTAATTTCCATGACAGAATCATTCTTGTTTTTCCGTGCAGTATTGTGTGAGGGCCTGAACATCCCAGGCATCCAAGACTGATTTTTGCCCTCATCGCAGAGTTTTCTTTCAATACTTGGTATCTTTTGAAAATATTACATACGGTAGAAATATTCAAAGTCTTCACAGTTTTTTAATTTTTTTAATGCACCTTTGGTCTGAGCTATCTGTCTCCCTATGTATAGTTCCCAAAAGAAAAATCAGTGGGTCTAATGGGGTAAGATTTGATCGGTTTCTTCTTGGCCCTTTTTGAGAGTCCTTTGATTACTGGACAGTCTCAAAAGATGTGTGAGTGGTCTGGTTTTCCCACATTTTCTCCCAACACGGTTCCACATTAATTTCTTTCACATATGACGAGATTATGAGAGGTGTATTTAAATACCACATTTTTAGTTTAAAGTCAAATTCTTTCCATAGTAGACTATTACTTTCTCTATGTCAGATTGTACACACCTCTTCCCATACTTTGTCGAATTTAGTCATTTTCCCTTAATATTTGCAATGTTTTGCATGGTTTCATTTATAATCTATATTCTTTGGGATTTTTACTTACCATTTACTGACGTTCTTTATGACTTGAATTGCAAAACGTCTTATCTGAATGAATCAGTTTCACAATCAGTTTCACAATTTAGAAATGCAGATTTTTCAGATTTGTGAACTTCGGCTTAACTCTCTAAGATGCTCGTTTCATACCCAGTCATGTTACTAATCTGTTGCCAATTAAGCTAATAGTCGCACGATGTTCCTCCAGCTGTTTCTTTTTAGTATCTCTTACATTTCCAGACAATAGTTGCCTCCATCCCAACTTTTTGAATTGCCTCACTCCTGTCAAAATGAGCTAACATTTTAAATGGAAGAGTAAAATGTGTCTTTAAACATTTGATTCTATTGTGGATAAAATATGGCTTTATGACACTTGTGAATCCTTGCATTCTGTTTTAATTTACATTATACATAAAATGTAAAATGTCCATCCATCCATCCATCTTCATCCGCTTTATCCG